AAGCTGTTTTTGCATACATGAGCCCTGTGACCTTTGACCTTTGACCTCGTGACCCCAAAATCTACTCAGTTCATCAGCTCTGCAAGATACATACATGACCAAAGTTTGGCAGGAATCCATCAATCGGTTGTTCAGATAACGCGATCACAAGCTGTTTTTGCATACATAATGAGCCCTGTGACCTTTGACCTTTGACCTCGTGACCCAAAATGTAATCAGATTGTTTTCCTATAGTGATACACACTATCACTAAGTTTGAAGTTTAAATCTCCAGTGGTTCTTGAGATATCATGATAACAATCTCAATGTATGGAATTTCATAAGTTGACCTCTGTGACCCTTGACCTTTGACATACGTGCTCCAAAATCTAATCAGATCGTCTTCCTATGGTGATACATACTATCCTTAAGTTTGAAGTTTAAATCTCAAATGGTTCTTGAGATATCGCGCTAACAAACTCAATACAAGGAATTTCATAAGTTGACCTCTGTGACCTGTGACCTTTGACCTACGTACTCCAAAATCTAATCAGATCATCTTCCTATGGTGATAAATACTATTCCCGAGTCTTAAGTTTAAATCTTAAATGGTTCTTGAGATATTGTGATAACGGTCAAACGGGACGGACGGACGGACGTACGGACGGACGGACGTACGGACGGACGTACGGACGGACGTACGGACGGACGTACGGACGGACAACCCGAAAACATGATGCCTCCGGCACCACCTTCGGTGGCGGAGGCATAAAAAAAAAAAATCATCATCAGTCCACAAATCTTCTGTCCAACCGCCCTCTCTACTCTGAAAACTTTAAAGAGGGGAGGGAGGGGAGGAGGTATGGACACTTGCACAGAGTTTCCGAAAAGAAGAACAAAAAACAAAGGTCCTCATAATTATACTTAACATTTGTTGCCAAATGGTAAAGAAAATCTTTGAATTTACAAATATGACAATAAATGGATCTGCCAATAGAATAAACAAAAAATAACACCCCTTCCCCCTCCCCAAACTCTACATCCCCTCCTCCTAGTGATTCCTTTGCACCCATCTGTGCAGCTCCATCTGCACAAATTGCAATCCCATTGCTTAGGCGACTGGGTGTCTCCCCGGTCGTTTGCAACGGAATCCACGCTTAATCCCTGGCATTTAAAACCCAAATGCAAATGACAGATCAGGCAGGGGCTTTCCTAAACAAACCAGTAAGCCATGGTGTCAGATTAGAAGAGTAAAAGCAATTCTGTTCCACGCCAATTGAATGTAACAATGATGATTTGACAAATTGCAGTTGCATTGGGTTCCAAATGAAAAGGCATTGACAGAGGATTTGAAAGTGATATGGTGTGTGCTGCATGTTCGTACATACAGCAGACAGCCTTGCTTCAGCTAGACATTTATGAGCAATGGGTATTACTGTACTGTAAACAGACCACATATAGGTCATTATCATCAAAGTATGTGATTTTTTGCATTTGTTTTATTATCTAGATATTATGTCTTGCTGGTCCACATTACCTCACACTACCATCGGCATATATCTTACAACAAATTTAATGGGGTTTTTAAAAAAAAGAGATTCCTAGTATGGTGAATAAAAAATTGACTCCACTGTACAATCAAATTATTGAAAATAACAGGACATAGTTCTCACATCAAACTCAAGTTTGACTTCTGTGATCTAAAGAAGATGTCAACTTACTGAGTAATCAAAATCAATTAAATCCTATATCGTATTTTTCCTCTGGCTAATAAAGAAATCAAGGAAATTGAATCCTCAAATACACTGACAAAATAAACAATAAATATATAGCACAGAGCTTCATTTCGCTTTCATCTGTTGAGACCCAGAAGGAGTTGACTATTATCTCAAGAGAGGTGTTGTTCCCACGTTACATGTGCACCAGCCAATTGATTTAAAAAGATTGAATAAGTTTCTAACGGCTTGATTTTCTGATTATTTTTCATTCCATCCTTCTTCTCTCAACACTTGCCTCTTTTATATCTGACTATGATTCTGATTAGATTGAATCTTACTTAATATGGGGAAGAAATCATATACTTGAGAACTTATTTATCCTTAGGAGACATACGTCTCATGTAAAATTCATCTCTCGTGTATTTAAAATTGCATATCCTAGGCCTGACTTTATCAATGGTTTAACAGAAGCCTGCTCATGCCTGAACATGTGAAACATCATCCCCCCTTCTTCCGTTACCCCAATCCATGTGCCATTCCTGCATTACCCCACGTGCCATTCCTGCATCCCCCTTCTACCAATATTGACCCCCTCTCCACCATCTTCACGTTAACCTTGGGGCAGGTGTTTACCGGTTTACGTCCCCCTGCCACATTACAATGTGTCTAATCATACATGAATGTAAGCCTCGTGCCCCGCATGCCACCGTATCGATTGAGGAACGTGATGCTAGCAATGTGTGTATCTCTCTTTACAGGGCCCATGCTTACTGGCACCATTTTGCCATCTCACCATCATCTTTCTACAGCCTAGTCAGTATGGCCTGCATGTGAGTGTACTGTACGTACAGCTCATTTGGGAAAGAACTCCTATCTATCATTTTTGTTCAATATCTATCTCCTTTATTAGGGTCAAAGTAGTCAATGTTCATTAAGATAAGGATGAGTTCTGCTTGAAATTACAAATATATAAATGAGTAGTAGGCCTATTGACCAAATACTTGGATGGGGCAGGGAATTGTAAACATCCTTACAAGTACAAGCTCGATTAAACTAATATAAAAAATTAAAAAAGTTATTTGCGTAAATGTACAGATCTCTAAAATGTCTTATATTTTACTATTTCACTCTGGGTGGCTGGATTGAAAAGCATGTAATAATATTCCAAACAACACATAGCCACTATAACCTGGTCTAAGCAGCTTTACAGGGGCATATTTTCAAAGAGAGTGTCGTCCTCCTGAAATTTTGTATAACATTTTATAACAATTTCCAGATCATTCTGAATTCAAGTGGGTCATTTGTCCTTGGATCCCTTCAATGTTTAATCCTGCTGTAATAATGGTTCAAAGCAAACGTCACCTTGATTATGGTGAGCCAAGAAAATAAGAAACACCCTAACGACTTTCTCCGGCAGTGAAAACATTCTCCTAGTTGTTGGAAGCTGTACTTCCTACCAGGGTCATCAGGAAGTGTGCTTCGCCACACCAACCAAAATGCGTTACGGACTTGATAGAGGACCTGAAAACAGGAGCCTCTTTTAGCTTCATCCTCAACAACATCAAGGTCTGTATTCTATGAAAATTTCAACCTGGCACAGGATTAAAGCTCAGTCTAATATCCAATCCAGGTATTTCTAAAGCGCCAATATCTAGTTGCCTAATCAAAGGCACTGATGAGACTGAAAAACTACCAAAAATGTCTGTTCATGATTCTAACTGGGAAAGAAAAAAAAAGCAGTGACTAATTGTAAGCAATCTGAAATAGGTATGTCTTTTGTTGAGTTCTAAAATATAATTTATATAATTTTTCCTGGCTCTTCTCATTTTTTAAAGTTTAACTAAATCATTTTTGCCCCTTCAAGTTGGATTCAACATCCCAAAGATGAACAGGACCCCAGTGCATTTCCTTTTGATTAAGACTCTTTCACTCACTGTGTACATGGCATTTGCAAATGGCAGTACAACCTTGAGAGTTCTAGATATGGCAGTCACATTTTCATCTTCTTAAAGACTCCTTACACCCACTCCAGCTAGAAGCTTTAATGGCATGTATAGTTATAAAGGACGCATAGCACGTATATCATGTTTTCATTATTCTTATCAAATACCTACATAGATTGCATCACATGTTTTTATAACCATTTCATAATATTTGTAATATCTTGTATATTAGTACTTGGAGTGCCTTGGGCACCTTGCGTGGTGGATATTTATAAGCATTATAAAATATCCAATACTATTATCATTATCATTTTACAGTACCACGGTACTAATAACTATAAAGCCATGGATAACATCATAAGAGGAGGCGTAATTTTACATAAATACTTCATTACATCATCGCTATCTATATACTCTGCTCCTTGTAATCATTTGAACTTTTATTTGTCAATAATTTTTTTTCAAAGTTTAAATAGCACCTTTATATGAGAAATGTATTAAAATCAAATTAACCTACAGGTCACACTTTATACCTATCCAGTCTCATATAGTCTGTGTGTATCGGTGCACACATTCCAATTTCTGATTAAATTAATCTATATCAATTGCACCCCAAGAGGTGCATTGTGTTTTTTATTATTCACTGATCAGAAATTGACCCGAGTAATGAGGTTACAACTGACCCACAAAAACAATTCAATCTGTAGCCTATATGCGTTGCAGCGTTTCCGAATTATGGACTTAACCTAGTCAGAACAATGCAATCAGATACACACAGAGATATGAGGATGTATTCAAAAATCGCTTACCGTAATTAACGGTGTATAAACCGCACTTTTTCTTTTAAAGTTTCGATTTATGCCCCTCCACCTGTCGCCATACCTGGCAATGTCTCCCAGCTCAGTAATCGGTGTGTTGACTCACCACTAGGAAACTAGAACAACACTCAAATTTGTCTGTCATCTTGGTTTGAAAGTAATCTTTCTGATAGATCTCAATATGTAGTTTATAATAATAATTCCTACACACGGTGTACGACAAGGTTCTATCCTAGGTCCTTTGTTTTTTAATTTACATCAATGATCTTACACATTCAGCTGCACCTCGCAGTTAAATGAAAGGCCTTCCCGCGCGGGTTTTTTTAACACGGACCTGGCTTGCTGCCGACAAAGTCTAAAGTCGGCAAAAAAAAAATACAACGTTAATTACGGTATTTACTGCCCATACAAAATTCAGTGAATAGCAATAACCCTCTATTTACATTTAGGAATCGAGGAGTCAACCCAACTAGAACAAAGCCACCAGACACATGTAAAACACATGCAATTTTGAGGGAGTGTTCACATAAAAGCCAACTTACTGCTTTAGGATAGCGATCTCGTTCTCCAGCGTGTCCTCCTTGCCTTTGATTTTCTTCTTTTCGATGCATTTTATAGCTCTGTATTCTCCGCTCTTCTTATCCTCTGCTACCACCACCTCGGAGAAAGCCCCTCTGTAGGAAGAAAGAAATGAAAAAGACAGAGATGATTTGTGTGTTCCTTTAAAAATATGTCTTCTAAATTAAAAAATAATACAAAGGATTGGAAAAAGCCTGTACACAACATGAGAAGAAAGCAAAAGCAAAAGCTCAAGAAACCTACAAAATACTGAAAATAGTAGGGGGACTTAATAAATGGGAATAACAAAAAGTAGAAATTGTAACTAAATTATTCCTCTCATGCAAATTTGTGTGACTGTATAGAAATCTGGTAACTTCCAGATATTCCCAATATAACTTTGTAAAACATAATTGATGTTTAAAAAAGAAGTCATATCATAGCTTCCTACATATTTTTCATTTCTTTTCATCACAAATACACAGAATACAGCAAATAAGAATTAACAAGCTTCAACCAACATCCACACAAATCATTTCCATACTGCACCCACAACAACAAACATGTTTTTGCCACTAATCTAATTCTCCTCCTCAACAAAATTTTATTCATTTATTCATTGCATACATAAAATCAAAAATTAAAACATGGATAAGTGATAGTTCAAGCTGCACAAATCCTCTAGTTGGTTGACTTGGATAATCTGTTCTCTATCTTACAGATTTCTTACATATTATCCTTCTGCTTTCTAATACCAATAATGAGAGATTGCGATCTTCATCAAGTATTACAACCTGTGCTATATACAGCTATGATGGAATATGTAGTGTCAACAGAGGCATACTAATGTTAAAACCTTATAAGGCCTGTCTTCATCAGCTCGAGTTGGCCAAATAGCCAGTTATTTCTGATTTGAAAAATTAGCCCAAGATATCTTAGGAATATTTCCTGAGCAAATAGCCCGCTATTTCGGGATCGGGCTAATTTCCCAGATCGAAAATAGCGGGCTATTTGGCCTACTCGAGCTGATGAAAACAAGCCTATTAGATATTTAGCGAGAGCATGCTCAGTTCCGACACCCTCTGGCTTTGTATAAGGAACTGAAACAGACTCTGATAGGTTAATGCAACAAGAAAAAGGCTAAAGGGCTAGATAAATCTGCGTTTCCTATTCAAACATGATGGTATCTAGGTGTACTTTGTGCTCATTCAAAATGAACATATTTTAAAGCCCTACAGTTATCAGCACAAACAATCTCTAAGTTTTAAAAACTCACTATCATTGATTTACAGACATAACACTAAGACAAACCTGTAGTATCATGTCTATTAATACTTATCATCTAATGATGTATGTACAAATGTGCCTGATCCAAAGTCTATCTATGATTATTACTGAATTATCATCAACATGTTTATACAAACCTCCCACATAAAACATAGGATCAAAAGATATGATGTTTACCGGAATCCAGTTTAGAGAACAGTTTACAAGTACTTAAACAAATAATGTAAATCGTAATATAGTCCGTGCTTTTGTCAAACAAGATTAAATTTTGATTAGGATATACTACTGTCAAGGCAATATAAAGTCCAGAATGTAGTCATCGAATACATCTGATTTTGGGAAAATGATATTCTGGGGTATAAAACCTGGATGTAGAGTAATTTGAGTTTTTACAAAAAGATAAATTTTCTATGTGATAATGTGCTTATCTACCATCATGAGATACACAATCATCTTCAGCACCTTGTAAATAATCCCAAAATGTTTGGAGGAAAATGATAGAGGAGGATACAAACTCTGGAAGAGGATATTGGGAGCATAACCTGACAGCGTGATGCCTCAAGACTTCACAAGGCAGGCAGGTTTTATTCCGATAACAGCTGATAACCCTACCAACTTTTCAGTTTTTATGAGAGTGGAGTGCTTGAACTTTGGTATTAATATGTGAGTGATGGAAGAGAGGCACAATGCTATGGTACCCGTTGCACTTTCCCACTCAGCCTGTTCCCATTGGTAGGTGATCGGCACCAGCAGAAATCACCATGCCACAGATGCACAGCCTAAGATGCGAAGGAGCTTGCCCGCGATCTTCCTGCACTGGCCTGTTGGCTGATGAGGTTCAAAGGTTGTCATCACTGCTGGCACTCATTTTTAAAACGCAACTACCACAGTAGCACTGCATTTCGTACACACTTCTGAGGCAGTGGGAACAATCTTATTCTGTGTAGGTGTCGGGTCATATTTACATATGCACAAACGAGGAATCGCCTCTGGATATTGAATGTTAAGTGCTGTAATGCCCTTACCCAGGGATTCATAGATAGAAAGATTAGCCAGTTTTCAGCCCCTCGAGAACAAAACGCATGCAAATGCTAAAGATATCTGTGTAGTGAGATTAACTGTGGATGCGCATTTATAGTATGCTTTTTTTTATCTACAAACAACCTACATGCATGTACATAACAACGGGGTAAAGGGTACTCTTTATGGTACGGGAAGTTTGCATGATCAGTAGTTGACTACCATCTTCTCGCTCATGCAAATAGTAATTATCAACAACATGATCTTTGTTGCCTGATTCTATTCCTATATTCATCTAAATTCAACAGCTGCTTCAACATAGCCACTGGGTTTAGGAGCTAGGCACAACTGGCGCATGCCCCCCCCCCCACCCCCTTCTTTCCAAAACCAATGTAGCATACCTTACCTACACAAGCAAGAATCAACAAACAAGGGAGCAACATGTGATGGTGAGGGTGGACTTTTGTGCCTTCATATTGCTTAAATTTGCAAATTATTGCTGTTTGGAAAAAACCAACCTTGATATCGAGAGTCACCTTATCAAATTGGCAATGAAAACTGAGGAGCGAATGCAATACTCTTATATTATTTTCTGTTATATGTGACTTCCAACTATATGCACGAAGAGACGTGATTGAATGCATAAGGTGTAATAGTTGGTGATGTTTGTGAATTTAAAGTTCTTATTTGACATATTTGAATGAAAGTTTATGTAAACATTATTAAAGACTAATCATGAAAGTACATGTATTTACCAGCTCCATATCCTAACGATATGCTTCTACCCCTATGAGATAAAATTGTGATTTTGAAACGATCATGCATTTTGTATTCCAGACGCATCTTTTGGGGCCACTTCCTGTTCCTAAGCTACCTGATAAGAACCAGACTACTTTTAACTATAGCTCTTAAACTACTCTTCCTCAAAATAAATCTTCAAAAAGTTCCCATGAGAAAATATGGGTAGCCACTACTATGTCAAGTACACTACAGATCACTCATAAACTGGTTAGACCAGCTAGAAGGATGCTTAACAGCATTACAAGATGACCAAATGTTTTCTCTTTTCTTTTCATTTTCAGGAAACTACTTTGTCAGTTGTAGAAAAAGAAATGTTTTTCTCGATGGTGATTGAACCAAAATGTTGAGATTTCCTTAAATAGGGAATCGAGATGAACAATTCCGAACGACAACTCTGAACCTTTCTGTATCGCTTTACAATTAGTGATGTTAAAATCACAGATTGTTCAATGGAGAAGCTGGGGGATGCATACAAAGCGCTCGGGATAACATTCACAGAGCTTTTGGCTGCCATTTTACTGAATGCTCTGTCATCACTGTAATCATCATCACTCTAGGAGGTTGCAGCTATGGAGACCCGGCATGTGTATGGGTTGTCCAGGCGTCAGGACCAATTTGTAGAGTTTCCCCGCTCCCGGGCCGGTCAAGTGCTTTTATCAATTCTGACAGCTACACTGCCTAATTTGTGGTAGGACTAAGAGGTAGGAATGTTTCGGAGCTGCCTAGAGAGTGTTGGCTCTAATAGGGGTTACAGGAGCTGGACCGCCTGTGGACCAAGTTAGTTTCTCTGCTGGAAAGCTATGGGAGCTGCAGGTTGGCAGGTCCAAGGGTATTGGGTCATTTTGTGACCCATATGTCACCTAGTTGAATTTATAACGTGCATCAAAACTATGATTTCAATTATATTGTTTTAATCTAAACTTTAATAGGGAAATTAGCCTAAATACATGTAATCACCCAGTATACTACATCATATGTAGTAGGTGTTAACATCTACTTGAACTCAAACTTGATTCATAATCACCATTCATAATGATCAACATCACCATTGACATTGGAATAATTTGATGGAATGTTGGAGTCTATTCACTACATATAATGTGATTGATATCTGTCCATGTAACAACAAAAAAGGAGTACCACATACACATGATATAGGTAATTGATCATCATCACTGTTATTATTATCACCATCAGAGCAACATTATCATCCTCATCGTTCTCATCACAAGCACCATCATCATCATTATCATCTTAACAAAAGTCATCATCATCATCCTCCACCACATAACCACCATTATCACTATCATTATCATCATCACCTTCCACATATACCACCACCATTATCACCAGTCATCATCGTCGTCGTCACCACCACCACCACCACCACCACCACCACCACCACCACCACCACCACCACCACCACCACCACCACCACCACCACCACCACCACCACCACCACCACCACCACCACCACCACCACCACCACCACCACCACCACCACCACCACCACCACCACCACCACCACCACCACCACCACCACCACCACCACCACCACCACCACCACCACCACCACCACCACCACCACCACCACCACCACCACCACCACCACCACCACCACCACCACCACCACCACCACTCCCACCACCACCACCACCACCACCACCATCAACACCTCCACACAAAACAAAAATTCACTATAGCAAACCCAAGTCCAGCCTTCCAGATTGCACTTCTTCCCTGCCTGCAAAATCTCTTCCAGGCATTATCTTGTTTGAATTAAAGAACTCAAGATAAGTCATGTTCACCAAGTTATCTGACCTCTTGTTTGAATTAAAGCAGAAGTTGCGATATGCCATGTCCACTGAGATTGCCGAGATAAGCTAAGTGCAATGTACTGATATTGACAGTGACAATGTCACAGCTGTTTCTTGGAATACAGTCCTGAGAGTAGGGAGAATTCAAAGAGCCCTGGGGGCTGTGCTAGGACTAGTTTAGACTGTATCAG